GTCATCAGGGAGCCACACCTGGCTCGCGAGCCATAGGTTGCCGACCCCGGGTCTATAGCTTAGCACACCAAGTCTATGAGGCAGCGTGAAGCGGGCAGAAGCCTTTGCACGAGATTTCAAGTTGGTTCTCGACTGGTACACTTAGCATGTTGATAGATCTGTATCCTGCTATGAGGTTCTGTTCCAGGTTGTATTGGCGACAAGAGAAGGTTCCCCAAATCGCAAGTCAGGGAAGACTGTGTTGGTGGATAGAGCTTTACTGCCAGAAAATGAACGATGCAAAGGCTTTATAACGAGCCTGATGCGTATGCACTCCAGCTGTGTCCGTGAGGTTGTATCTGCTGCGTGCGAAGATTGTCCTCAGCCAATTAGGTGCCACAGCGCACATCGATTGGTTCGAAGTAATCTGCACCTCGTGAAGTGATTTGACTGAGAGCGTGGGAAAGGCAGGACATGGCAGGCCTCTCGCAGCGATTGACAAGGAAGGTGCGGGGGAATATACAAAGACATGACTAGCGAAGAGAGGATGAGTCAACGCAGCCGTACGGATCCGTTCAGGCTCCCACAGCTCTACATACACGGCTTGAGTCAGATGAGTTAAAGCCAACATGAAAACCAAACAAACACACGCGTGGGAGCCAATTATTATCTGAAGTTCGAAGGATACCCTGTAGCTAGACGGATACCACCATCACCATTTAAGCGTAGAAAAAGTATTTTGCAACCTAGAAAATTGACCGCCTACATCTGAAACGGCTTACTCCATTCTTTAGCACTGAGTGGTCTCTTGAAATTTGACTTTAGACTAGATGGTGACTTTACTTTCGCCAGCAAGCTTTTTACAACCTTGTCTGCTGTTCAAATTATTTAACTATTCGCGTGCAAAAATTGAAGGAAATTTCAAAATGCGTTCAGGTGGCCTGAAAGACGTACTGATGTATCCCGCGAACGGAAATTAATTTCTCAGGAGATTAAAAAGCTGAACTTTCAGAGCCGGTATATCAACCAAAAAGCAGATAGGGAACGCTGGGGGATGTCCCGAACGTGCGTCACGTGCAAATGGCGTCCACGGCGCGCGCGAGCATGCATTAATCGATTACGTAATCACCCGAACCAATGACAATCAAGCACGCTTGTAGCTCGCGTTTACGTTGTACGATAACGCGCACATTGCTATTAGGGATCCACTGATGAGCCATACCCCTCGCAGCTGTGTGAAGCAGCGGCAGAATACCGGCGAAACACGTGTCT